ATGAATTTTGGATTGTTTTCTCTAGTTCAGTGAAATACACTGTTGGGATTTCAATTGGGATTGTGTTGAATCTGTATAGTAGTTTTTGTACATGGCCATTTTCACTATGTTGGATCTTCCTACCCAGGACCAGGGGGTATCTTTCCATTTTCTTATATCTTCTTTGATGTGTTTTTCCAGAGTTCTGTAGTTTTCATGGCAGAGTTCTTTTGCTTCCTTCATTAGATTGATTCTTAGATATTTCATTTTTGGGGATGCTGTTGTGAAGGAATTGTTTCCCTAATTTCTTTCTCAGTGAGTCCATTATTTGTGTGCAGGAAGGCTACTGATTTTTGAGTGCTCACCTTGTATCCAGCTATTCCACTGAAAGTGTCTTTTGTCAGAGTTTTTTGGGTCTTCTGTGTAGAGTATCATATAATCAGCAAATAATGACAATTTAACTTCTTCCTTTTCTATCTTTATTCCTTTTATTTCTTTTTCATGTATAATTGCTATGGCTAATGTTTCCATAACTATATTGAACAGGAGTGGTGATGGTGGACATTCTTGTCCTCTTCCTGTTTTTAGTGTAAATGTTTTCAGTTTTTGACCATTTACTATGATGTTGGCTGTTGGTTTTTCATAGATAGCCTTTATCATCTATTCCAATTTTCTACAGGGTTTTTTTTTATCATGAATGGGTGTTGAATTTTGTAGAATGCTTTTTCTGCATCTATTGAGATAATCATATGGCTTTTGTCTTTGACTCTGTTAATATAGTGGATCACATTTATTGATTATGTATGTTGAACCATCCTTGCATCCCTGGGATAAACCCTACTTGGTCAGGGTGTATGATCTTCTTGATGACCCTCTGTATTCTGTTAGCCAGTATCTTATTGAGGATTTTTTCTATCTATGTTCATTACTGAGATTGGCCTTTAGTTTTCTTTCTTGTTTGGGTCTTTTCCTGGTTTTGAAATCAAAGTAACACTGGCTTCTAGGAATGAATTTGGAAGTATTGCTTCCTTTTTAATTTCAATGAAAAGTTTCAAAAGTAGTGGCAGTAGGTCTCTAAATGTTTTGTAGAATTCAGGAGTGAAGCCAACAGGGTCTGGTCTTTCCTTAGTTGCTAAACTTTTAATTACATTTTCAATTTCACTGATTGTAATTGGGGTGTTTAGAATTTTTTTTTGTCTTCTTTGTTCAACTTTGGTAATTCATAAGTATCAAGAAATCTGTCCATTTCTTCTGTGTTTTCCATTTTATTAGAGTACAAGTTCTCGAGGTTGGTATTGATGATCCTCTGGATTTCTGGTGGATTTGTTGTGACTTCACCTTTTTCATTCCTGATTGGATGGATCTGAGCTTTTTCTTTCCTTTTTTTACAAGGTTGGCTAAGGATTTATTGATTTTATTTATTCTTTTGAAAAACAAATTCTTCAATTCATTGATTTTTTTTTTGGTATCATTCTCTTAGTTTGCATTGAATTGATATGTGCTCTGATCTTTATAATTTCCTCCCTTGTATGAATTTTGGGTTTGTCTTCCTCTTCTTTTTCTAGGAGCCTAAGATTCCTCATTAAGTTTTTTATTTGAGCTTGCTCTGTTTTCCTAGTGGGGGCATTCACTGCTATGAATTTTCCACATAGAACTGTTTTCATTGTGTCCCATAGATTTCTGTGTGATGTATTGGCATTATCATTTATTTGTAAAAACTGGCTAATTTCTTCTTTTCCTCTGTGACCTATTGATTGCTCAGGAGAATGTTATTCAATTTCCATGTGTTTGTGAAGTTCTTACAGTTTCTTAAACTATTGATCTCCAGCTTAATTGCACTATGGTCTCAGAATATACCTGGAATAACTTTGATTCCTTTGCATTTATTTAAACATGCACTATGAATTAGTATGTGGTCTATTTTGGAGAATGACCCATGTGCAGTCAAAAGGATGTATATTCTGATTTTGTGGGGTGGAACACTCTGTAGACTTCTATTAAGTCCATTTGTTCAAAAGCTTGGCTCAGTTCTAGTATTTAGTTGTTGATATTTTGTCTAGATGATCTGTCTATATGTGATAGTGGGGTATTAAGGTCCCCCACTACAATTGTATTAGTGCTTATTTGGTTTTTCATGTCCCTAATATTTGTTTTATATAGTTGGGGGCATTAATATTTGGTGCATATTAATTGTGATTGTCATCTCTTCCTTTTGGATTGCTCCCTTTACAAGGATGTAATGGCCTCCTTTGTGTCTCTTAATCAGTTTTGGTTTGAAATTTACTTTGTTTGCTAATAAGATAGCTAGTGCTGCTCTTTTCTGGGTTCCTGTTGCATGCAGAACTATTTTTCATCCTTCTACCTTCAGTCTGTGAGTTTCTTTTTGAACTCGGTGCATTTCTTGTATACAACATATTGATGGAATTTACTTCTTAATGCATTCTGCCAGTCTATTTCTTTTGAGTGCTGAATTGACATCATTGACATTGATGGTTATAACTTATATGTATTAACTTAACATTGTCAGGTTATTTTCCTGTTGGTGGTTTTTAAAAAATATTTCCCTCTCTCCCTTTAGTTTCTTGCCTTGCTTAATTTATTGGGCCTCATGGAGTTGTGGCCTTCATTGTCTTTTTCTAGTACATTGTTTAGAATTCCTTGTTGTACTGGTTTGGTATTCATAAAGTTTCTCAGGTGTTCTTTGTCATGGAAATATCTTATTTTCCCATCCATTTTAAAAGAGAGTTTTGCAGGGTACATCAGTCTAGGTTGGAGTTTGTTTTCTTGTATGGCTAGAAATACCTCACTCCAGGCTCTCCTTGAGCTGAGGGTTTGTGGCGAAAAGTCTTCTGTGATTTTGATGGGCTTTCCTTTGCATGTGATTTGTTTCTTTTCTCTAACTGCTTTCAGTATTTTGCTCTTCTGTTGGGTTTCTGGGATCTTGACTATTATATGTCTAGGTGTACAATTTTTTTGATCAGAGCAAATTGGAATCCTGTAAGGCTCAGTTATAGGCTTGTCAAATTCTTTTGCTCTGTTTGGGAAATTTTCTGTCATTAATTCTGTGAACAGCTTTTGTTAAGTCATTTGTACTTTCTCCTGCTACTTTACGCATTCTTATCAGTCTTATGTTATTCTTCTTTGCATCATCTAGGAGTTGTTTCATGATTCTTTACTGTTTTTAAGAGAGCTCTCTTTTCATTATCAGTGACTGCAGTGCTATCATCTATATCTGAAATTCTATCTTCACATTCATTCATTCTGCTGCAAATGCTTTCAATAGAGTTTTTCCTGGATATTTGTTTGAATCTGTTTCATGGATTCCATTTCTTTCCTGTGTTGGGCATTCATGGTTTCTATCATGGTCCTGAGCTCATCTATTTTTTTTTTGTCTTTTTCTCTTCTAGAGTCTGTAATCATGTCTTTCATTCTGCTCACCATCTCTGTGAGGATCTCTAATCTGGGATATTGTTTCTGTTTTGAATTTTTCTAGAGCCTGATTGATCTGTTTTGTTACTTCCTGTATTATGAGTTCAGTGTCTCCTGGTGGTTGATTGTCAGACTTTTCCACCTAATTTCCCCTGGAATTTGCCATTGTTGAACTGGAAGTTTTTATTTGTGCCTTGCCTAAGTTTTTTCTCATTTTTATTTTTGTTGTTCGGCTTTCCTTGTTTTAATTCCTGGGTTAGTATTTGATATTCCCGATATAGCTGCTCTTTAGGTGTTGAGTCTCTAATGACTCAGAGACATTCTCATTTTCATAATATCAGAAAGGACAACTCATTAAATCAACCACAACCCTTTAGCCCAATTGATACAATCAGCAACACAGTAGTATCAAGCACAGTTTGGAAACTGACCATTTGTGGTAATTATTAATCTATCACCTTTAACTATGTGAATTAAATAAAAATCAAGGACCAGCCCAAAATATGTTTATAGTGAATAAACTTTTTAATATAGAACTTTACCCTTCAGGATGGAGATTTAGAAGGAGTTGGGAAGAGAAGACTAGATAGATAAAAGAATAGGAAAAGGTTTCAAGTGAGGCCAGAGGACACAGGGTGATCACACAAACTCTAGGAAACTGTTGAACAAGAGGGAAAGACAGAGTGCAAGAACAAAGATAAGACTAGAACAACTTGACAGTAATAGGGAAGCTATAAATTGTACTCACTTTCCTTTGAAACTAATGACAGTTGAGCAAAGGAAAAAGAAAAAAGAATAGAAAAAGAAAGAAGAAATCTGAATTAGTGCAGGAACAAGAACAAAAAGGGAAATGAAGAAAAACATAGGAGAGCAAGAGACTGAGCAGGTAAAAGAAGAAAGAAAAAAGGAATAATTTGCAGAATGGGAAAAAATAAAATTTTAAAAATTAAAATTAAAAATAGGAAAAGAAAGAAAAAAAATTGAAGAGCCTCTTTCCGGGTATATCTCTGCTGTCACAATAGACAATGTGGGCAGCAGTGTGCAGAACTAAGTCAATTAGACCCAGCAAGCCAACATCAGACCCCTGAGATTCAGGCTGAATTCTGGATGCAAGGCCCAAGTTGAGCTTCTTGACCTCCTGCAGGGTTGAACTCTGCAAGGTTCTACTGCATGTTCCAGCTGCTGTTCCCCTGATGATAGTCCAAATTCTGATGAAAGGTGGTGATCCTTCCAACTTACTAAGTGTGGAGGTCTGATGTGCCTTTGTTGCAGTTGTTCACTTTCATTCTATCTTCAGTAAAATGGCCTTTATGACCACTTGTGCCTCTGCAGTGTGGATCCAGGTACTGGAACAACCAGGAGGCCAGAGAGCATGTGGGGGGAGGTGTATTGCAGTTCTAAAAACTACATTTTTGCAGTTATTTAAACTGACAAAGTATTTCTATATCCATGTAAAATATATCAGTGATAAATTTTCAAAATTTAAGGGGTATTTGATCAAGTGTTTAAAGACCAGTGATCTGTACAAGAGATAAAGTACTTCAAAGGCATGTACCCATGAGTCTTCAGGTGTGTTTTCATTGTCTTCCCAGTTCGACCTTGTCTGTGTCAATGCATGGATGCTGGACCTCACCCAAGCCATCCTGAATCTAGGCTTCTTGACTGGGGCATTCACCTTGGGGTATGCAGCAGACAGGTAGGTAAAGATATGAAAACCAGTTTACACACTATAACATCGCGCACACACATATGGAGAGGAGCATACTTTGTGTTAACTGTTTAAAATATTTTCATTAAATCTGGAATTCTACCAGTCATGACGTTGATACATTTGGTTTGACTATCTTCCCTTCTCAGATTTCATCTCCTCACTCCTTGAACTAGACAAAGGGTGAAGCTATTCCTAGTGAGTCTGAAAGTGTTCAAGGGAAAACACAGACCTGAAGACAATGACATCACAACTGGGATGGCAGGAGGTTTTGCTGAATATAGCAATTTTGGGGTCCTGGTTTGATTAATATAGTACTAAAATCAGCCCATTCCAAATTTAGTTCACTATTTTTAACAAAAAAAGAATCATTGTACATATTCTTCTACAAATTTAAGACTGTGAGAAAGGAAAATTTCCAAAAACTGTTTAAAGGCTTTTAGGTAATGTTTTGTGTTCATAAACAGAACTGGCTGGCTAATGGCTGATGACAATGGAAATGTATAGACAAGACCATTGTACATTCTATTTGAATATTCTTTTGACACTGTTGTTATTGGCAATCATATTCATGTTTAATTCTATTACTTTATGCTAATTCTAACTAAAAATATTTGCAGTGATTTAATAATTTTCTGTACCCATGAGAAGGGGTACAGAATGTGGATCTTTGACCTTTGGCCATATCTGGCTTGGCAATGCTCAGGTCACTCCAGCTCAACCGTTGCTTTGTCCTTGTGGTCACACTTTTCACCAGGTAGTGGTCAGGGTCCATTTCAGAGAACAGCAAACAACAATTAATTAGCTGATCAACAATAAAATGCCTCAAATCCCATACTGAAAATATGTGTTTGAAAATCTGACTTTGATCAACCCAGCACTTCAAGATCGGTAAATCCTCCAGTTTTTTCTTCTGTCATTTTCTCTTTCTCCTTCAGTTTCCTCTAGCTCTTTCCCAAAACTGTACTTCACACCCATATTTTTCCTTTACTCTTTGTAGTTTGAAGCTCTTCCCTCTCAGTCTTCTCTTTTATCTCTGCCCTTTTCTACTCTTTCTATTTGTAGTCTTCCAAACTTCATCTTTGCTTTCCTAATACCTCCACTACTACATTTCACTTTTCTAGATGGCTACAATTTGGAATTGGATTGTGTTTTTAAAATATTTATTTTATTTTGCTTTTAGTCTTGTTAATTTAAACTTTTTAAAATTAGGCTTTCCTTTCTCTGCAATTCTCTTCTTCACAAACAAATAACTAAACAGAACAAGGAAACCTACATGACCTAATCAGGGGTTGAGTATCTGTTCTTAGTACTTTGAAGGTAATGAGTCAGACCTAGGAGAAACAGAGCCCTGAATAATTCTCCTTCCTGCCAGTGCTGACTGCTTTTCAGTTTCTTCTCTTCTTCTGTGTCTGTGATATATATGTATGAAGAAAAGAATAAGAAATAATTTAATAGCCCATACATCTATGAGTGGACACTGTAGGTAGGAGATGTAGAGAGTAATTTTAAAATGTAGGTTTGGACTTCCATTTTTTGTTCAGTATATGAGAAGTCATTACATAGTCCTAACAAATACAAAGCTGAAAAAAACTAAGAAATCAGCAAATCTGCTTACATTTATAAGAGAAATGAGGTCATAGGAAAAACTGCTGCCCCTAAAATTGGAGAGATAGGTAGACAGATACAGAGAATTGAAACAACCTGAGAGAAAGGACTGGATAGGGAAACCTGAACTGAAATGATGAATGGCTGGAGGCTCAGTATGGATAAGTTTGAGAGTTAAAAACTCCAAGGAGTGTAGACTTCTGGATCTATCCCCAGCATCACAAAAACATGGGGCTTCCCACATTTTTGTGATTTTTATCTCCTAGAGCCTTTTGGGGTTATCACAGTAATTATGAAGAGAAATCTTTCCACATTTCCAGCAGGAAGAGGGGGAGAGAGTATAAATACAACCCTTTTGAAATATGCCAGAGCATTCTGTTTATCTTAACAGGGCTGCCCTCCGGAGAGACTAAGTAACCAGAACCTAAAGTGGTGTTTATAGGAACCTAAATGACCTGGGGTTGGGGGGAACATATGGGGACACAACTATCTCGAGAGCTTTCCCTGTAGGAGAAGGAAACTCCCGTATCCAGGCCACTCTAACCATCCTGTGCTCCTTTTGGAGGAAGAAAAACTGAGAAACACTTGTTTTGCTCAAAGTCCAGAGGATCCCTAAAAGGCTGAGATCTAAGCATAGTATACTTCTCTTTGCATCTCTCAGTACCACATTGGGAACACCATTTACAGCAGTCTCTCTCTCTTTTTTTTCCCATTGTTTATTGGTACATTTAAGGTAAATAATACAGTTACATTCATTATTGGGATCTTGTACCTTTACATGATGTATCTTGGTTCTTAGTTTTCCCCATTCCCCTGCCCTCCCTTTACCCCCTTCCCTCTTCCCTATTTACAAAGACTTTGTTTCTATTTTTTGCTTTTCTCTTTTTACCCAGTAAGCCATGTCCACCTGTCAAGAAAAAAATCATAAACCATACTAAAAGGCAGAAAACAAACAAAGAAAATCCCCACATCTTGAAGAGAGATAGTAAGCATTAGAACCAGACTCAGATATGATAAGGATGTTGGAATTATCAGATCACAAATTTAAAAACTATGGTTAATACGTTTAGGGCTTAATGCATAAATTAGATGATGCAAAAACAGCTTCTCAATGTACCCAAATAGAAGGAAATTCTAAGAATCAAAAAGAAATGCTAAATATAAAATACTGTGACAGAAATAAATGCCATTAATGGACTTATTAGCAGACTGGATATGGCTGAGAAAAGAATCTCTGAGTTGAAGATATCTCAATAAAAACTCTCAATGGAAAGCAGAAGAAGAAAAGACTAAAAAAATATAAAACCTAGAACAGAATATTTGGTAACTGAGACAACAGAATGGTGCACACATAATGAGGACATCAAAAGGAGAAGAGAACCAAAAATATTTGAAACAATGACTTAAAATCTCCCCAAATTAATTTTAGCTACAAAACCATAGATCAGTAAGTTCTTAGAACACCAAGCAAGGTTAATGCCTTCCCTAAACTGCACAGGGGCATATTATATTCAAACTATAGGAAATCAAAGCTAAGAAAAATATACTGAAAGACACCATAGTTGGGGGTAAGGAACAAAGATACAGAAGGAACAAAGATAAAAATTACACTTGACTTCTCCTTAGAAACTATGCAAGTAAGAGGTGATAGATGTGAAAAAAAATTACCAATCTAGAATTCTGTATTCTTCAAAGTTGTCTTTCAAAGGTGAATGAGAAACTTTTACTTAGACAAGCAAAACTTGAGGGAATTTGTTGCCAGTAGACAGATCTTGCAAGAGACTTTAGAAGTTCTTCAGAGAGCAGGAAAATGATACAAAGAAATGATATAAAGAAAGGAAGAGCACTGGGGAAGGAATAAGTGAAGGTAAAATAATTAAAATTTTTGTATTCTTAGTCTAACAACAATTTAGTCAAAATAATAATGACAGCAATAGATTTAATTATGTATGTTTATATTTCATATGTATATACTTTTTTATACTTATGTATAAGTGAAATGAAATGGCAGCGATTATACAAGGGAAAGGAATTTTTTCTTATAACCTATTTTCATTAGGTGTGAAGTATTATATTGTTTTTTAAAAGCAAATTTGGATTTAGTATAAATGTATATTGCAGATTCTATAGCAACTACCAAAAATAAGTTTAAAAAAAAGACATAAATTACATGTTAAAAGAAAATGAAAAGTATATTTTTAAAAACTTAGTTAATGGCGCAAAAGCCAGAAAATGTGGAAGACAAAAATAAAAAATGGCTGTTCATCCAACTGTGTCAGTATACCTAAATGGATCAATTAAAAGATAATTGAGGCCGGGGATTTAGCGCAGTGGTTCCACCACCTACCTTGCAAGGACGAGGATCCAAGTTCAATATTTGGTACCGGGGGGGTGGGGAGATAGATCGGAAGAGTGGATCAAGAAACAAGACATAATGATATGTTGTCTCTAAGAAACTTAAATTAAATGTAAAGATGCACACCGGTGAAAAGTGAATGGATAGAAAAAGTATACCAAACAAATGATAACCAAAACAAAATGGAAATATCAGACAGAAAACTTCAGAACAAGGGAAATTGTCAGCAATAAAGAGGGTCCTTGTAACATAATACAGAGATCAATTCTCCAAAAAGACATAACCATCCTTAATATGTATGTACCTAAAACAGTGTCAAACTATATGTGGCAAAACTGATTGAAATATAAAGAGAAATAAATTTAATCCATATTATAGTTAGAGATTTTATTACTTGTCCATCTGAAATGTAAAAATATAACCAGAAAATCAGGTGGAACATAGATGTGCTCAACAACATTCACCACATGTAGTTGACATCTGTAGATTACCTCATCCTACAGTGACAGAATACATGTTTTTTTCAAACTTATGTGAAACATTCAACAAAATCAGAATCTGGACCATAAAGCAGATTTTAACAAATTTAAAGGAATAGAAGTCATGGTATGTCTGCTGTCAAATTACAATGAATTAAATTAGACATCTGTAGCAAAAAGTTGAGGCATAATACTTCTAGTATAAAGTGGGCCAAAAAAACTCAAGAGAAATGTAAAAGTAGTTTGAACAAAATGAAAATGAAATTGCAGCTCAAATTTTGTGGTTGCAGCACTGGTTCATCTACTGGAGAAAAAGATAGAGCTAAATTCAGTTATCTAAACTTTTCCGAGAAACTAAAAAAAAAAAAAAAAAAAAAAAAAAAAAAAAAAAAAAAAAAAA